AATAAGACCTCAAGTTGTTCACCATCTAGAGGGGCAGACAAATAAAAACATTATGTGCAGCAGAGATATAATATGTTGGTGATTACAGAAGAGATGTGGCAGTTAATTTTTAAATATCTCAAAACCGTAACAAGCACTTCAGACATATTTGTTGCCATGATGAGTTGAAAGTATCACCTAGATGGAGTGATGTGTATGCTTGCCATTTTTCATCAGTTGTACCATTGTTCCTTTACAGAGCCATCAGCGACTTATCTACCTCCATGACTTCAACATGCAATGAATCACTGTGACAGATGAAGTTTGTCTTTAAAAATATTTTCTAAGGGCACCTGGGTGGCTCATTCGGTTAAGCGTCTGACTTCGGCTCAGGTCATGATCTCACACTCCGTGAGTTTGAGCCCCGCATCAGGCTCTGTGCTGACGGCTTGGAGCCTGGAGCCTGCTTCAGATTCCGTGTCTCCCTCTCTCTCTGCCTCTCCCTGACTTGCACTCTGACTCTCTCTCACAAAAATGAAATAAAAACATAAGAAAAAAATTTTTTATTCTAAAAAAAATAAAAATATTTTCTAATAATAAAACAGAAGCTAACTAATGACAACTTGAGTAAATTATAAAGAAGAAAAAAGTAGCCTTTAAAGCACAACCCCAAGAGAGATAAAAGGACATGTCAAGACATTACCAGTGGTTATAAAATACAGCTGTGTTTTAGCTCAGTATATGTAGATTATAATATATGCTTATATCCAATATATTCTCAGAATGTATTATTAACTCTTCTATGTACATTTTTAGAAACTTTTGGGGGGAATAATTTTAGATTTACAAAAGAGTTGTAAAAAGAGTACTGAGCATTTCATACTTTCTTCACCCAGCTTCCCCTCATGTTAACCTCTTACATGACCATGCTTTATTTATTCAGCAAACCTAAGGAGTTCACATTGGCAAAGCACCATTAATTAAACTGAAGACTTTATTTGGATTTCCCAGTGTTTCCACTAATCTCTTTTTCTGTTCCAGGATCTGATCCAAGAGACCATGTTGCATTTAAGTTCCTGTGTACTTTTCATACATTAATTATAATTATATATTAACTTTTCATATATGCACTTCCTACCTTAAATAGAGCCCTTAACACATCAACTATATTCTGCTACAAGCAGCTTTCTAACTGGTTCCTACATCTTAGTTTCTTTGCCATCTTTTGACATATTGCTTTTAAATCTTCACCATCCTGCTCAGAAATCTTTGACTTGTTCTACAAGAAAACCAAGACCAAGAACATCAGACTCTCCACATTCCAATCTTCCCACTCCTTCCCCAAGGTGAACTGGCCTGGGTGCTGCATCCCACACCAAAGTTTCATGCTTTCCACTTCCATATCATTGCCTATATTACTCATATTATCATACTGTTTTTAATATTATATTATTTCCCTTGCCCATGAAGCCATATTTGCCCACCCCATTTAGCAGAGAGCTCACCCTACCCCTACTGTCTAGAAAATTCACCCAGCATCATCTGCTATCTTTTCTTTCTGGTTCCGCAACCAGACCATGAACTTCTTTGGAGAAGAAGAGCTGTCTTGTGTGCATTGTTGAATGTCCACAATATATTGCACAGTTTAGTTTAATAAATATGTCCTAATTGGGATGCTGGGAACCTTATATTCTAATGATTATAAAAATAACGGCTATTTCCTATTTCTGGCCTGATATGTTAGGAGCTTGGAAGGTATTGCACCCCTCCTAACAAAACAACAACAACAACAACAACAACAACAACAACAACAACAACAAACCAAAAAATAAAAGCCAAGTTAGTAATTTTTCTTAGGTCAGAGAAGTGAGATCACAAGGAAAACCACTAACACAAAAATTGGAGAGAGAAAATCAGAGTGACAGTGAATCACCACTTACCAGAGCAGAAACCTGTGCAGGACATGGAGGTAGAACAGAACCAGAGTTAGAAACATCTATGCTGTAATTGACAAATTGCTGGGGGATCAGTGTGAATAAGTCTGACAGTTACAAACAATGATGCACACTAACCCTGCCCTTCCCGTGTTCTGGAAACTGTCTGAACAGGTTACATCTGTCAGATTACTTATGTCTTGCAAAAGCCTTATAAGGAGGCCATTTTCCAGATAGGAAAACTGAGGCACGGGGAGGTTCAGTAAGTGGCTTGGTTAGTAAATGTCAGAACCAAGATGTAAATCCAGGTGAATGGGCTCCAGAGCCCACATTCTTAATGATTACTCTATATTTGCCTCATACCAGGTGCCAATAGCCTCTCAGACAAGGCCACATAAGCCAGTCATGGGTCAGATGACATTTACAGATACCAGGAAAACCTAGGGCAACAGACATTTACTGTCTACAAGAAACACTCATTAACTCTCACCACTGGGGACCGCTCTTCCCTGTGACCCTAGCCCAGTGCTTCTACAACATCTCCCCATCTCACCACTGCCACAATTAATAAGGTTTGTTCTCACTTCATGAAGGCCACCATAAAGTGCCTCTATGTCAAATTTTCTTCTAATTTCATTCTTCAAGGCTCATCATGCTTTGTGCTAAGTACTATATCCCTCCCAGGACAACTAGAGCCTAAAATATTGTCATCGGTGATGAATATGTGTTCTCCAGGTAAGGTGTATTGCTAGTAATTAAACAGTATTAATTCCATCAGCTTTGATTTATTCTGCTCTCTCAGTAATGAAGCCCAGTATTCTATTTTCTCTCTACCTAGCACTGAGCAATAGAATTGGTGTTTAAGGATTATCATATAAATCTACTTTTTGGTCAGTCAGTGTTGGGGAATTTTTTCAATATATTACAAATGTATTCATTATTCCCTCGTTCATAAAAATAATTAAAAGCTACGGCCGAACACAAATTCCCAGAGCACAAAAGCCTGACTGGCATGCTACTGCCAAATACCAAGGTTGGCAGCTTCTTAGTTTACGGGTTTCTTAATGAGAACTCGTACCTTCTCATTCAATAAAGGGCTTAGGTGGACATTTCCTGCTGGTGTTCACAGGAGTTATAAAACTAAAACCCTACACATCAAAATGAAAATGGGCTACTGTTACTTTCTATATGTTTTTAGCAGTTCAGAAATAACTTACCCTAAAATAAAAACTATCCCCAAAAATCCGACAATTCTTGAAAAGTGATCCCCAGGATGTTAATAACATTCTCTTAAAAAAAAAAAAAAGCAAGGAAGGAGAAAGAAATACAAGTAGATCCAATCCATCATTGTGATATCCAAGTTTCTCCTTAGATAAAACAGACATAAAACATGTACTTTACAAGCCTCAGATGACCTTCAAGACATCTAAAGTACAGTATCTATGGATTTTTAAGTATAATTAACAACTCCTGTTTTTCCATTTAAAGAATCCAAGTTCTGTTTCTGTGACAGGCAAAAGCTAATCAATCTCGTTTTCAAATGCTAATACAAGCAATTAAAAATAACATTAATTAAAATACTGCAGGGGCTGTTAGATTTTTGGTGGTGGAGTTTTTTTTTTTTTCCTTTACCTAAACTCGTGACAATTCTAATTTACAGGACTAATTGAGGAAGCACCCTTGGTTTGATCCATTTCTGGGACGAAGAGCTGGCTCCTGAAACCCAGCTGAGAGCTGCAGAAAGCCACCGCTCTGTGAGGAAGCCCGGGCACTGCAGCTGAAATGCGTATTTCACCTGGTACACCAAATGTGACAGATCGTTTTATTTATATCACGAATATTAATTTTCTGGTTTTGGTAACGAAAATGTAGAGCTCATTTGTATTGTTGTAAAACTTGTAAATATGCCCTGTAGTATAAGTAATATTCAAAACAACATCCTAATTAAAAGGAAAACTCAGTTGTCTTGCAAGATAATATAAGGAGGGCACATAAATTGTAAATAAGATACATGGTAAAAATGAAAAAGACAGTCTGGATAGGAGAGGAATGAAATAAGATTTGGAAATGTGCTTTTTAAATGAACACAAATTGTGAGATAATGTCTCATTGAACAATAAAAATAACAAAACAGTGGCAAAGATGTAATAGAATTTCCTATGTATACCATTTTAATCTTAATATAATTTTCCCCAGCACATCCACGTTTATTGAACTACTACGACCATTTCTTTCTCACTCTGTCCAAAGTTACCGAGACAGTATTATTTGCTGTAAATAATTCCCTGATTATGAACATGAAAACGATCTAGAAATTGACCACAGTGCTTTTTTAAAAATGACATAGTGTCTGCTCAGGGCCAAAGGCCTTATGGGAATGGCAAAGTATGTATAGTTTTCTCAGGGAAGCAGAATGAGAACACAGAAGAATACATTCCCCACGTCCCCTCCATAAGGCAACTCCACACCTTTGTTTCTTTTTCCCTTTATTCAAAAAAATGCAAAGGAGACTTCTATGACACCTGAGCCTATGGTGTGCTGGACAGAGCACAGAGCTAATGCCAAAGAAGTGCCCGGTCCAGGAAACAAGTACACATGTGACTTGAAGAAAATCTACATCAGTGCATCCTCAGTTTCTCAGTCTGCAAATGGGGGTGATGATACTTGCCTGTTAGCTTCAAGCTTGATCACAAATGGATGTTGAGTAAATACTACTTAAATATGTAGGTGAGAGTCCAAATTCACTAAATACGAAAAGGTTTGCTGGTGTGGACACATGACGTCCAGAGGAAGCCCTACATCTACTACTGACCCCAACTGAGGAAGTTCAGCAAAATGTCCAATTCCAATCCAATGCCATATACATCTCAGATGTGCACACACGTCTTCTACTCATGTAGGCCATTCAGTCTATGTGTGTATTTCATGGATGTCATCGATGTTCTTATAGATCTTAAATTCTTAAAAAATACTCAAAAGTATAGAATATGCTCTGCTTATTATTTTGCCCTCCATTTGATGTCACTGTGGAGTAGGAATTCGGTTTCTGCTGAACATCAGTTCAAATGCTCTTTCTGACATTCACAGTCTAATTTGCTTTATTAATTTATTATTTTTCGAAAATAATTCATCAGACAAGAGAAAGATGCACTTGTTCACGCATTAAGAAAACATGTGCCAAACACATCAACAAATCCATTTTATTAAATGTGTTATCAATTAATCCCTTTGTTGAAGAGAATGCATAACTGCATAATGTGACTAACTTTTAATTTTGATTTTTTATACTAGATTAAACAGTAGAAAAATTATGGATCACATGAAAAAGTACCTACAAAGCAAACAATAACTGACATAACCAGAAAAACTAGGTTCATAAACAAGTATTCTTATAATAAGTGGTCTTGCTGTTTGAGCTGCAAATCACGAGCATGCTATCTTTATAAATTTTGCATTATTTTTTTCTAGAAAAATTCTAAGGATTTAAATTGAAGTTTCCTAGTCTATCTGATTTCTTAACATAAAAATCAATTTCAGTGGTTTTCTATTCTATTTTTTTTCAAAGCCTCATTGATCCACATGCAAATACAGTAAAGGCCATCATTAAATACATCCCCAGGCATTACATATTCAGACTTTATAATCATGGATCAGCTGGTAGGAGATGATTACAAAGGCAACTTGAGATTGTCTGAAGGATCACCAAAGCAGACATCCTTTCCAAAAGCAGAGGCCTCTTCTCCAGCAGACATGGGACAGCCGTCTTTTATAGACTTTCCTTTAGTCCATTATTTCGGATGATCTTGGCATACTCCTTGGCTGATGTGTAAGGGACTCGAGGTCTAGCAGGATCCTCAAAATCAACGTGGAAGAGACCAAACCGGCTACTGTACCCTTGGGTCCACTCAAAGTTATCCAGAAGAGACCATGCACAATATAATTTAAGATTGACTTTATCAAGCTGGATAGCTGATTTTTGTTTCAAGAGAGAAAATAAAAGAAAGGAAGAAAAAAAGAAAGAAAATGATCATCTCTGGGAAAGTTTTTTGAGAACTTCAAAATCATTGACAACCAGCATGGTATCTTTCTCCTGCAGGAGATCACAGAAAAAACTTCTAAATTCTCTTTTCCAATTTTCTTTTTTTTTTTTTTTTAACCAAGTAGGGGCTCCACTCAAGAAGTTAAATTACATATCATTCTAATTATTTGGTTATTCACTCATTTTGATATGTGTTTTATTCGTCCATTGATTTACTCAATAAATATCTTTTTAATATCTACTACTTTTCAGACACAGACACAGACACACACACACACACACACACACACACACACACACAGTTTCTCTCTAGTACCTAGAATTATATTTATTCAAGACACTGCTCAGCTTCCAAGTGTAATCTCTAGATGATCCACAAAGTCCACTAGTAAGTTGGAAGAGATGATAAAAATAGGGCTGAAGAAGCCTTAGCCCTTGTGTCTCTATGACCAAACTGAGACATGTCTTATAATTCTGGAAACAGGACCCTAAAATGAAAAGGGTCAACACACCTCCCTGGTTATACATATATCTTAGACTGAGTAGGTACAAAAATGTGATGGCATCTCCTCTGCCCAACATCTAAACTTACAGTGGTGTTTAAACCCCCTAAAAGCCAAAATAATGGACCATCTCTCCCCCAAATACACTTGTGCACATATGCAATATTCTATATAATTTCATTTGTGGGTATCTGAAAGCCCATCCCTGGACTCTCTAGTGAGATACCAAAGTGTGGAGAATTTTCAAAGTAGTTTTACACTGATTCCCATACTGTTAGGGAATTTAACTCACTTTTTAGTATTTTAAGTATTTCAATAAGTATTATTTTAGCATTAGGATTTAATAATTAGCATTTTAATTTAATATCTTAAGTTTGGCAAAACTCTGGCATTGTATGAATTGCTGTATTGAATATGTCTTTTTAAACCAGGATAAGTGAACTCTATTTATGGGATGCACTCATATCTATTTCCCAATGCGGAAATTAAATAAAAAGGCAAGTTTCCTTCATAAGATAGACATATTCCTAAATAAGTTGGGTAAAAAGGAACATTCATATAATATACCAATTTTTAATGATATTAGGGAACACTCTCAACCAAAATGGCTCTTCTGGCATTGGCAAAGCAAGATCCACTCTATTTTTTTCTTTGATGTAAATCTGTGTTTGGGGGTTCTCTTAGAAGCACTATACTCATAAACTATTGCATATGTGTTGGTCTCCTAATCACCTTGGAATTTTTTTTTTGACTATGGACACCCCCATAGACAAAAGGTTCCTGAGAAGTTAATTGATGCATAACCCCTCCACCTTTGTGCATGGAGGCGTGCAAAGTGCTGTACTTAGAGAGCGCCTTATGAATGGTCTCAAGGCAGGAATTAAGCCAAGCTAGATTGACTCCTTTTAAATAAAGTATGGTTGGAAAATGAAATACATAAGATTGAAGCACACCAAGTTTTGCAGGCATTAAGACATTTATAGATATCCCTTCTTCTACTTGTCCACATTACCATTCGTGTCTCCTCCCCTCTCTGTCAACCACAACTGCAAAACACCAATATTTTAAAATCATTTTTTTAAACTAATTTAAGTTCTGGATGGCATATATATAAGAATTAAAATAACTGAAACCAAATACCAGGCCAGAAAACAAAAATCTCCTGTGACTGCCTTAGAATTCAATCCGGAGACATGTAAGAATCTGCATTATTTTTTTTTTCTTATTTGCAGAACGACTGCCCAACACGAACGCCTGCCAGATATAAAGCCAGACGGTTTCTGAAAACACGCACAGTCCCACTGAACGTGCACAAAGGATTGATTCATGTGCTCAACCAAGGGATAAAGACGATGCCCTGCCTGCTTGAAAGGAAACAAAAAGGAAATGCTGACAATTTCATTGTTACCTGCCAGGAGTTCAGCTGCAGGTACTAAACTGCCCAGTGACGCTGGTGGGCGTAGCTGCATTTTCACGGCAGGAACATTCAAATAGAGAATCACCTGGCTGCTTAGGGCTGAGGAGTTAGCCAGCCGGATTCCTTCCCATTGTGCTACCACAGGGAAAAGTTACGAAACCATGCTAGAGCCTGTATGCCTCTGCTCTTCCAATCTCCTCTGGAACAGACAGAGACCATCATCACATTTCTCGTCAGTGTGATTTAGGAGGGCCCAAATCTTAGTAGGGAAAAATCACTTCTGTGAGTTCACTTTCTTTCCTTAACCAGAGTTGCAGGCAAAGAAAACAGACTGACAGGGACTACGAATGGGTACAAAACACACGGGATAAAAACAACAAACATACAGAGCCAGAGTTTGGTTTTAGACAAAAAGGCCAGAGGAAAAGATCTCACAGTCAGCAAGTTGAACATAAAGATGCAAGGAGAAAAATATCTAAGACTTGCTAATATATTAACGTCTGAGTCAGGCTGTTCTAATTATAAGAACCATGTGCCAGTGTTATCCTACTCACACACACACACACACACACACACACACACACACAGCCCAGTTTTAGTCAAAGTGGGAAGGCTGAGGGGAATGGTTCTTTATCAGACCACCCTAATTCTTTACAAGTTCAAGGGGTCCCCAAACCACCCTCAGTTTCAATAATTTGCTAGAACTCACAGAACTCAGTGAAACCTGTTATACTCACAGCTATGGTCTATTATGGCAAAAGATACAAATTACCATCAGTCAAAGGAAGAGATGTACAGGTCAGAGACTGAGGGGCCCCAAACATGAAGCTTCCATCATCCCCTCCTCTAGGGGTCCTGGTATGGGCATGTGACCATACACACACAGCACAGTCAATCAGAGAAACTCACCGAAGCTTCAGTGTCCAGAGTTTTTATTGTGACTTCATTACTCTGGCATGATTGATTAACTGACTGTCCATGTGGATGAACTTAGACTCCAGGTCAAGTGACACTGTGTAACCCAAAGCCCCCACCTTCAATCACATGGTTGGTCTTTCTGATGTTACTAGCCCCTATCCTAAACAAGGGCATTCTGTCAGGTATGACATAGATTTCCTCCGAAAAGCTGAAGGCAAAGGCCAACCTGCTATTTGGGCAAAACCAAATTCTTTACTACACACACACATGCACACATATACCTATTTTCAAAGCTCATTATTTTATGCTCCTGGGCAGAATCTTCTCAAATTACTGGTTTACGAAGTGCCGTGATTATGCCTGTGTTTGTCACATTACAAAAGGCTAATAATTGGGCACTCAGCTTCAGTGGGTTTTATTTCCTAACAGTTTATAAACAGAGATAGCCTTCGTTTTCAAGACTGCCTGGGACTACATAGGACATCCACAAACATAGCACAACTATTCAGCTGTCAAACAAACCACTAATCCACAGGCCCAAACTGCCGTGGTGAGGACCAGTGGAAGGGATCTGGACAGTGTAAAAGGCAGCCACCTCACAGAAGAAAAATGGCAGAGATAAAGCCCCAGGAAGGAGTGAGAAGAAAAAATACAAGCCTCTAGATTTCCGTGTTCTGGTAATGGCAGACTACATTACTTGAGCAAGCCCTCCTAATGAAACAAGTAAGCATGCTGGATAGAATTTTAAAACCAAATCTTCAAAACAATGAAAAGCTGAAAATTTCATAGGGAATTACCTGGCCACAGCAGAACAAAGAAATTGAGATTGATGGGCATGGTAGCTACTTTCACCTGATGGAATTGTCTATTCTTAGGAAATCAGAATCTTTTCCTATTATGCAGGGTGAGGATAGGTGTCAAAGCTCAGAGACACATGGAGGGAAATCTGAGACCCCACACATAGAAAACTAAGATCCCAAAGGACAAAACACTAATACCTCAAGGGCAGGATGAGCCAGAAGCAAACCAGTCACTGGAAAGTTTCAAGTCACCTGGTCGTTCTGAAAACATCAAGTCTGGGTCTTGGATGGAAGTGATTCCGGACTGAAGTAACTCCAAGTGTCTGGAAGATTCATATTCAAATACTTTCTGAAGGGAGAGATCTATATTCTAAGCCTTCAATTATTATCACAAATACCTTTAAGTATAATCATCAGCACATAATCAAATAATCAGAAAGACATGGGAAAATAACAATTAGAAAATCACTAAAATCAACAGACAACAGAAACAGACCCACAAAGAGCTCATTTATTAGCATTGTCACACTATAAAATAACGATGTTCACTATGTTTATACTGAAGAGATAAACTTGAAATATCTTCAAGGTTTATAGGGACCTATAAAAGTGATGTGGCATATTTGGAAAAGGAAACAGTAACACTTGGGTTTGAATCCCAGATGCAGCAGTTACTAGCCATGGGACTTCAAGTTTTTCATGCGTACAATATAGACACTAATATCTACTCCTGGGGCTGCTGTAAAGATTAAACAAGACAGCATGGACTCAGCACAACATATTGCCCATGTGGGTTTCTGTTGTTTTCCACTCTGGCCATCCCTCAGAAGAATACAGTATCCAAAGTAAACATATACTTTGGTGTGCCCTCTCCCCACCAATCCAGATATTTTGATGAAGTAGAAACTGGGTTTAAATGAGCAGCTGGGACAATGTAAAAGAGGAAGAGGAGTCACAAGAACAAACTTCAGTCTCAGAAACTGTAAGACTTAAGGGAGAGGCACAGACAGACTGTATAAATCTGAGGACAGGGGTCTTTACATCAGTTGACAAACTCCTTTCTTTTCTCCAGGGTGACATCTCCAAGTCACTGCCTGGCTTCCTGCCTCCCTGAGTCTCGAGAAGCAGTCCGGAGACCCCTATAATGCCGACTTTCAGGTGTCCAAGCTCTCAAACTTAAGAGTTGTTAGTTGAGCAGGTGCATCCTGGGATTTACTTCGTGAACAGCAAATCTGATCGGAGGTATGGAAAAAACTAATAGCATGGGTCTGAGTCAAAATCCTTAAGTAGTG